GACTAGAACATTCCATGGGCTCTACCATCTTCCTGATCTCTGTTCACTCCTCCATTAGCAGTGGAACCCAGAATCATGTTTGCTGGGATCGAGCATAGACTCTGGGCCAAGAGACTGGAATTTGAGTTCAAATTCTGCTTTTAGAGTTGAGTGTGGGAGCACACTCCTGTAATCCTAACACTTGAGAAGTTGAGGCACAAAGATCACTGCAAATTCAAGGTCAGCCTAGGCTACATAGTGAGTTCAAAGCCAATCTGCCCTACATGGTAAGATCATGTCTCATGTACAACTTAATTTTTGGATTTAGCTCAGTGGCAAAAGCGCCTGCTTGGCAAGCTCGAGGTTGTGAGTTTGCTCCCTGGGGGAGGGGGGGGACCTAATAAAAAAAAAATCCTTTAAAATATTTTTAGTCTTAACTATGTGGCCTCAGGAATTTTGTACTTTTTCTTTCTGGTGCCAGGGATCAAATTCAGGACCTCACCTTGCTAGGCAGGTGCTTATGCCACTGAGCTATATCCCTGCCCCACCCTACCCCCTTTTTTTTGGAGACAAAGTCTCACTATTCAGTTCAGGCTGGACTTGAGCTCACTGCATAGCTCGGGTTGGTCTTGAATTTGCAAAACTCCTCCTGCCTCAGCCTCCTAGATGCTGGGATTACAGGCATGGGCCACCATGGCTGGCTCCTCTGTACTTACATTTCTCTTTCTGGACACACTTTCTACAACTGGGTCCAGTCTTAGTTTCTGTCACACTGGATTCAGACATGACTGTCCCAGTACCCAGTCTGTCTGCCAGCAGAGGCATTGTTCTCAGCTCAGAGCTGGGCTGTGCTGGGCAAACACAGGATGTTGTAAAAAAGATAAGATAGAACTTGGAATCTTCCGTTCAGTCACACTGGACCCTCCAGACTTTGCCTCCTGAGGCAGAAGGCGTGCAGAGAACTTTGACCACTGCTATTTACTAAGATCTTCCTGCCGAATGCCACTTGCCTTCTTCAAACCCTGTAAAGAAAAAAAAGCCGGCCTCTCACTGTTGCCTACAGATGGCCTGCACCCAGGTATTAAACCCCATCCGTCATCACTGTCACACAACAACATGAGTTGCGTGGAGTCGTTCCTTACAGGTTCAGAGTCAGCTCCCCAAGGAATTTCCCAGGTCACTTCCCAAACGGCTTCCACTCCCCTCACGGCAGCCCATTTGGATTCTCTTTGCTTCTGTTTTCATCCGTGGAAGGCAGCAATGTGGTCTTCTGTGGACCCTTGTGATGAAGGTTACGTTACTCTGGCCTCGAATTTTTCATCTATAGAACAGAGAATATAATATTCAACGGTGGCCAGCTTGGGGACCCAGGCCTGCAATCCCAGCCCTCTGGGAAACCGGGGCAGATGGACCACAAGTTTGAGCCCAGCCTGGGCAACTTAGTGACTTAGCGAGATCTTGTTTCAAAAAAAAAAGATAGAAAGGGAACTAGAACTTTAGCTCAATACAAAAGCCCTGGGTTCAATCCCTGGGATCAGCAGACGAAAATCAACTGTGAGGCCCCACAAGGATTAAAGGAACAGTGGGTCTGCGTGGGTGGCACACGTGACGTAGGATTGGTCCTGGATTTGGGCTGGAGTTGGGGCCGCGGACCTGTGATTATTCTCAAGGAAAGGCGCATGTCACAGGCCACCTTTCTGTCCCCCTCATTCCCAGGTATGCCCAACCCCCACCTCCTGCTCACCCCTCCTGAGGGGTTTTGCGGGAGGGCTGCAGTGCTGAGCCCTTGGAGTTGAGCCTGGGGGTACTGATCACGGCTGCTACCAGAATAGCTTTCCCCCCACCAACCCCCCACCAGAGGTGCCCTGCATTGGAGCATTATGTACCCCTTCCAGGGGCTCCCCAAGCTCAGAGAAAACCATTTGTAAATGGTGGGAAACAGTGGCAACAGCAGAGGCCAAGTCCTTCCGTTTCCTGTGTTAGACCCCCAGCCACCACCCTCAGGGTCCCCCTTCCCCTTTCCACACCCCCTCCCCTGCCTCAGCCTAGGCCAAGCCTGCAGAGACTGGCTTCTGGTCTCCTTTCTGCAGCGGGTTCCCCAGGACTTCTGGGCGCGCCCCAGCTGGCTCATTCTTCATTTGTTCAATGCGTATTTGTTGAACACTGTAGCGGTGGAAAAGTGTCTTCCCCCACCTAGGGTTTCTGGCTGGATCTGAATAAAATGGACAAAGACAGGCTGATGGGAAGAAAGCATAACCAATTTATTCCATCAAAGTTTTATGTGGTGGGAGCCTTTAGAATGGAGACCCAGGGTGAGCTGTCCATCTTTATCTGGAGGTTTGATGCGGTGTAGGCAACGTGGAGGAATCTGATTGGGTGAAGGGTGTGACCCAGGGGAGCCAGAATGGAGACCACAAGGCCTGTATGTCCCAGCTCCTCGGGGCCTTGGGTCTCAAGGCAGGACCCCCTGGGTTCAGGGTCTTTGACAGGAGCAGGTGAGAGAATCCAGCGTTTACACACACAGAGGAAATTAAGAGTCACAAGTTTCCAAGTTTTATGGCTTTGGGAGAAACTGGGTCCTGGATGGCCCAGCCCACCTGGGGAAGGAGGAATGCTACTTTCCATGGCTTGGGAGGGGGTGGAAAAGGTCAGAGAGGTCTTATTTTTCATTTTATTTGTGTATTTATGTGGCAGCGGAGATTGAACCCAGGGCCTTTGTACTCAGCTACATTCTTAGCCCCTTTTTTTTTTGAGACGGGGTCTCCCTATGCAGTTCAGGCTGGCCTTGAGCTCACTTTGCAGCCCAGGCTGGTCTCAGACTCCCAACAATCCTCCCACCTCAGTCTCCCCAGTGCTGGGATTACAGGCGTTTTGACATGTTGCTAAATCGCCCAGGCTGGCCTCTAACTTGCCATCCTCCTGCCTCAACCTCACAGCGCTGGGCTAACAACACACTGCCATGGCTTAGCTGAGAGGTCTTCTAATGGCAGTTTTCTTCTGCTTCAAATGCTGAGGTTCTGTACTGTGGGATACCACAGTCTGAGCCCCAATCCCATCACCTGGGTCCTAGTGACCACTTTAGGCTTTAGGACAGTCATCAAATAAGTGAAATTTCTCACAGACAGAAGCTCCTCAGGGACCGCACATTCTGTGAAGGAAACGGCAAACAGGACGATGCAAAGAAACAGAGCAGAGAGCTGGGGCCCTGGATTTGATCTCCTCTCCACCATGAGTTAACTGCTAAGGTTCGAGGTTCAGATGGGAAGCCAGATGAGAAGCCAGAGTTGGAGAAGGGCCACCACACGCTCCAGCCACCCACTTCAGAAAGCAGAGACATCAGAATTTGCACCCAGGTGAAATCTACACTGTCTTTAAAAGGTGACTTCTTTTTTTTTTCTTTTGGCTCTGGAAAACTAACTCAAAACCTTGCCAGGCAGGTGCTGGGCTGCTGAGCTATATCCCAAAAGGTGACTTCCTGTTTTGTTTTTCTGTGGGGGTTTTTGAGACAGGGCCTCACTATGCAGTTCCCACTGGCCTTGAACTCATTATGTGGCCCTGGCAGAGATCCTCCGGCCTCTAGCTCCGGAGTGCTGGGATTACAGGAGTGCAACACCACACTTGGCTAAAAAGTGACTGCTGAGCTGGGCATCGTGGACCAAGCAACCCTATGATTTCAGCATTCCAGAGGCTGACGCAGGAGGATCTCCAGTTTGAGACCAGCCTGGATTACATAGAGTGTTCGAGGCCAGTTTGGTCTATATAACAAGACCTTATATCTAAAAAATAGGAATAAAAAGTAACTTGTGATAGCATAGATATGCCCCTAAGTCAACACAGTAAGTACGACTTGCAATTTATTTTAGTAGTAAGTCACCTCAGTAATAAAAGAGCTTCAAGTATATATTCTGTTACAGCTTTTAAGACTGCAATAAACATACATCTCTTTCCCGTATAATTTTAATGGCCTGAAGGAGAGAATCTAGCGTCCTTGTTAGCTGAATGGGTGAGTCTGGGGGGAAAACTGACCCAAATGAGGTCACTCGCCCAGGCGCAGGCCCAACATAACCGCAGGCCCAACAGAACCGGATTCCCTATTCTGTTTTGCAGAGGGCACCAAGGGCAGGTTCCCCCACGGGCCGCCAGGAGGCGACGGAGAGCAACCGATCCGGCTGTCCTGGGCTTGACTGACGTCCCTGGGCGGCCCGAAGCCCGGCGGAAAAGGCAGGTGCGGGAGCAGCATAAGATCCCCCCGAGGCTAGAAAGTGTGTTCATCCTATCCCCTCCTGTCGCGATCTGTCCTCCACCAGTATCTGCGCTGAGGCCACCTTGGATGGATGTCTTTTAAACAAAAAACCTAAAATAAATAAATAAACAAAAAAACCTGACTTTCACCACTCTTAGAGCTCTTTAACGGCTCTTCCAATATCGCTTACACACACACAAAAGCCAAAGACAGGACCGCGTGATCTTGCCCCAGCCTAACTCCCGGAGCCTTACAGAAACACTTTCATTTCCTCTCATCCTCTACGAACACACACTCTGCTGACAAGAACAGCCCCTTGTGCGCACCAACACTCCGGTTTGGGGAAAGGGTCCCTCCTACATTTGCATTACCAAGTGGGGTTTCTCATCGCTTCGTGCAACGAATATCTGGCCTTGTCTTTCTCCTCTAGTGCCTACCACGGGGCAGAACAAAAGCAACGGACTCGTTAAAGGTTTGCAGAATGAACGCAGTAGGGAAAACAATGCAATGGGGAGCAAGGGCTGACATTGTGACCTCAGGCAAACCAACTACCTGACTCAAGGGTCTGAAGGAGGAGCGACGCTGTATAAAAGTGCTTAGAACAATGCCTGGGAGATAGCCAGCGCCCGACACCGATTCATCCTCGTCACTTCCACAGCCGCCAAAGTCTGTCCTTGCCCTTTTAAGAGACCCTCCCACCTTTGCTCCTAAGCGGAAGTGCCCCTCAGAGCTCCGGAAGTGACCTCAGAGCCCCTCACAAACATGGCCCCTAAGCGTTCTTCCGGAAGCGGTCACAGGAATCTCAGTGACGCAGAACGAGTTAGAGCGTCCCGTGAGGTTTCCATGGTGCTGTCCTCAGCCCCCAGTCTCTCCGCGGCCCCTTCGGCCTGAGCGCCGGGAACGAAAAAGCAGGCGGCCGATCCCATCCGCGACGTAGCCGCCGACAAGGGAGGGGTCTGGCGAGCGGGTGACGCTCTGGGCGAGCACGCCCGCACCTCTATGGTGTCTGGGGCTCCTTCGCCAGGCTCCCGAGCGTCGGAGAGGACGCTGGCCCTTTAATCCGTGGGGGGCGGGGCCGAGGAAGTCCCGCGAGATCGGCGGGGGGCGGGGGGCGGTGCCGAGGCTGAGGGGCCTGTGGCGGATGGAGCCAGCGATGGAGCCGGAGACTTTGGAGGCGCGAATCAGTGAGTGTCCGGGAGGGGCGCGGGCCGGACCGGAACCGGAACCGGGGGTGCGAGGCGGTCCCCTTCCCGGCGGGGGCGGGGTACGCGGCGCCCCCTCCTCACGCCCCGCCCTCGGCCCGGGAGGGGCGGTGCCCCAAATCCACCTTTCGGACCCTAGCTTGGAGAAGACCCTGCCAGCGACCCGCAGGGGCCGTGACCCTGCGCCGAGAGTGAGCTCTTCCGGAACCTCCGGGACCCACAGAGCAGCCCCAGTGCTCTCAGGCCCAGGCTGCTGTTTCGAAGAGCGGGCCCCCCAAGTCTCCCTTGGGTTCGGGAGGGAGCCCGTCTCTCTTCCAGCCCCGAATTCTTCTTTCTTGGGCCCCGCGCAGCCTGATTCTCTCCAGTCCGATCCTTGAGCCTGCAACTGTTCTCAGATGTGTTCTTTCCCCACCCCAATTCTGATCACCCAGCTGCCCCCAAGCACTGGCCACACCGTGACAAACCCCTACGGGCTTGGGAGGGTCCCGTCTTAGACCACATAAATAAATCTAAGTCCACTGTCACTACCCCCAGAGCAACGCTTGTTTCCTGCACCTCCATCCAGGAGTCCTTTCCCAGCTCTTGCTTAGAGGCTTCGGCCTTTTCCACCCCGGGCTTCGGCCACCCAGGGACGTCCAGCCAAGGGGAACCGGGTCAGTTGCTCTCTTGAAAGATGGCTTCTTAGTCAGGCTTCTGAGCCCCCAGTGCCGAGGGTCCTCAGCCGTCGAATCCTTGGACTCTGCCCCTGAAAAGCGTGATTTGTTTCTCTCCGCTCTAGCGACAGCTCTCTCCCAAGGCTTTTCCACCTGTCAGACTCTCGTCTTTGCCAGGTTCTCAGAGAAGTCTTCCATCTACCCCCAGCAGCCTTTTGGGCCCGGGCACGCCTTCGGGTCAGCACCAGTCTTGAGCAGAGTTGACCTCAGAATCACACAGTCCCGGGAGACGTTTCAGACGGTGGGGTGGGGGAAGGGACGGAACGGAGACATGGCCTTTGACTGTTCAGGACGCCACAAGTGCCCAGGTCTCAGTAGCAACTCAGTGATAGGCAGGTCATAGCTGACTGGTTACAGGGAGGCTGCAGGACTTCCACTCTGGATGATATAAAGCAGCCTCAGGTAAGGGCTGGGGGTGTAGCTCAGTGGAGGAGCCCTTGTCCGGCCTGCTGTGGTGGTCCTGGATTCCATCCCCAGCACCGGAAAACAAAGTTTAAGGGTTAGCAACCAGGGATTTTCTCAGGCCACAGGCCAGAAACAGGAGCCCAACAGGTTAATGCTAGCATTGTTTTCTGTTCCTTTCCCTTTCCTTTTGTGTCCTAGTGACATTGTGAGATTTTCTTTAGTAGAGATTTGAAATTAAAGAGTAGTTTCTGGTGGGGTAAATAATGACATTGTCACCACTGTGGAGTGGTGACAGGGTGGAGTCACACACTTGTGAAACAGCTCTGTCTGTCTCCCAGCACTGTCCGCTGCTGCCCTCCTAGAAGGTGCACCTCAGGTCAAGTTGAGAGGACTGGGGTCCCAGGGGCCTGGGATGGAAGGTGTCAGTGCTTTTTGGACTCAGACGCCCTGGTGGAGGCCAGTTGCAGGGGCAAGAGCTGGTATCTCCTGGGGCTGCTGCTTCCTGCCCGCCAGTTTCTGACTCAAGAGCTGGCTCCAAACTCTGCTTCCCTGCCCTCGAAGAGGGTCACATGTCTTTGACGCTTGAAAGGACTTCCTGTTTTAGGGTCTCTGCCACTGGCTATCGAGCAGGCAGTGTCCCTTTGGTTCTAACTCCAGGCTGGTGTGCCCAACCTTCGGCCCATACTGGGAGACCAGGAGATAGGTTTCTTCTCTTGTCAGGGGAGCACACTGCTGAGACCCCTGGGGGCCTGCAGGGCCAATTTTCTGCTCTGTTCTTCCATTCTTTGGATTGGAAGGTCCAGGAAGACCACCTTCCCAACTCGGGAACTGGCCTATGGACCTCTGTTCCCTTCACAGCACTACAGTGTTCTGAGTTTGTCCACCTGGGTGTTCGGTGTTTCTCTTCCTGGGCCTGAGCTGTAGGAGGGCAGGGTTTCATCTAGTCGGCTGCTGTAGCGCCAGCACCCAGAGTATTTATTGAATGAACCCAAGTGAATGCTGCAAGCCCAGGCCCAGGCCCAGGCCGGGGGTCACACCACAGGCCCCTTGATAACTGGGTAGGTGTCCCTTCTGGTTCTCCAGCCTCATCCTGCCCTGCTCCTGGGCTGTGTTCCTGCTGCCCCCAGCTCAGTGCTTGACCCGACTGACGGCAGGAAAGCCGGGAGGCAGGCTGGGGAAGTGAAGGCCCAGCTCTCACTCCCCCAGGGCCTGACCAAGCCTCGAGAGTTTTGTCACCTGAAGTTGGTCCATATTCCACTCCAGCTTTCTAAGTGGGGAAGTTATGTGCCCCATTAGATTGCTTCTAACCTCTGTCAGAGGTAACCAAGTGTCGTTTGCCATCATCATCCCGTAGACCTGTCTACCCTGTCCTGGCCACTACCCATTCCTGAATCAGGTGTCCCTAAGCCCCATCCCTGCTTAGCACAGCTGACCATTCATTCATTCATTAATCCGAGGAGAGGAGACCGGTATGAGCACAAGTGGCAGGGTCGCAGTGAGAAACAGTCCCGGGGACGGAGAGAACTGACCCAGCACTGCCCACTTGGGCAGGAGTGGAGGACTCGAGAGAACTTCCAGGAGGAGGTGACCTGAGCCTCTCCTGGAGAAGCACAGCTTCCTGACCCCAGCATGGGGGGGAACCCACTCGGCCCTTTGTGCTCTGCCTGGAGTTTGGGGACCTACGTGTCCTTCATAGCCTACGAGTGCTCAGAGCCACCCTCCCAGCCTGGCAGCTCCAGTCAGCCACCGCTCAAGTGCCACCTCCCTGTCTCCAGACCAACCCAGGCCTCCCCAGCCCCTTGCCTTCCTCTGTCACACCTTATGAAGGACCTAGATTCCCTGGGCCCCTGCTGGTCACTTACTCCGTGAGGGCAGGGCTGCAGCCCCCCCCCCCCCCCCCCGCTATCTCTGGATCGATTCTGAGCACGAATTCTGTGAGAGTGTCGGGGCCGCCGTTTCCCTGAGCAGAAGCAGAGGGGGAAGTCGGTGTGGCAGGGTCCCAGCTGCAGGGAGGTGGAGGGGTGGAGAAGGAGCCCTGGACTCGGCCCCTAAAAGCAGTGGGCAGCTGAGGGGGAGCTGGTGGTCATGGGCTCATCTGCTCCGCATTGGGACATCTGCGCTCAGTCCTGGGGCTGCCTGGGCCACACTGACCCCCCTCTCCTCCTGCAGACAGAGCCACAAACCCCCTGAACAAGGAGCTGAACTGGGCCAGCATCAACAGCTTCTGCGAGCAGCTCAACGAGGACTTTGAGGGGTAGGTGGCCTCCCCATGCACTGCCTCACCCAGCAGCACCCACGGGGCACTGTCACTCGCACTCCAGGCCCCAGACAGGCCCAGCTGCATGGAGACCAGCTTCCCTTCTAAATGCCCAGGAGTGGGACCTTTGTGTAAAGGCTGCTTGTGCCATGAGGCCAGGGGACTTGGTGGTGACCCCAGGACCTCACAGTAGGCAGTGGCACTCCTGAGCTCATCAAGGCCAGGTCAGGTCACCCCCCAGCCAATGGCATGGGGGGGTCCTGGCAAAGGGAGGACCCCATGATTGCCTACTGGCCTTGCTTAAGGAAGAGCCAGACCCCAGTGGGGGCTCATCTGGTGTGCACTCCCAGAGCCTCCCACTTGACTCTCGGGGTAGGGGCAGGTGACCTGTGTGTGCTAGGTCCTTCATAAGGTGTGACAGAGGAAGGCCCCTCTGCTGAGTAACTGACAGCTCTGTGCCTGGGCTTCTCCAGCTATGCGGTGAGAATGACACCCAGGAGGGGCCAAAGGTTCCCTCTGCTTGTGCAGGTGGGCAAGAGAGGGCGTGTGAAGCTTCTCAGTGTGCCCAGACGCTGACTGTCACCGTCATTGGTGACGGCGTTTTTGTCATCCAGTAGGCCTTGACACTGCTTCTACCATGGAGCACCTCTGATTTCCCCAGCACACCTTTGCTACCGCAAGTCACATGGAGCTGTGTCCACCCAGCTGTTATGGCATATTGTCGTGATTTGCTCCTGGACCAGGCCTATGTACTTGTCCCCTACAGCAAGCCAAAGACAAAAAGTGTGGTTCTTAAAGCCAGCCAAGAGGCCATGTTCACACGTTTTAGGATCCTGCCTGGCTGCCCCACCACCATCCCAGATCCCCATCTGATCCAAAGAGCAGGCCAGGCCTTTGCCCATGCCCTGCGGACCCTGCAGAGGGCTGGTGTCCCTGCAATCTCATCCAGCGGCCTCCTCATGGAAGGACTGGGCGCTATCGCCATCCTAGCCCTGTTGTTCCTCTCACACAGGCCTCCACTTGCCACCCGGTTGCTGGCCCACAAGATCCAATCCCCGCAGGAATGGGAGGCGATCCAGGCCCTGACGGTGAGGCGGGAGAAGGGGTGTCTGTGACCTGCCCTCGCCTGCAGGCAGTGGTGCTGGGCTGAGGCCAAGGCTGTTCTTGGGGTTCCTTAAAGCTCTGTTTAGAGCCCGGGGAATTGTGATCAGGTGGCCCAGGATTGGGGCCTGGGCCAGCCTCTGAAGGTCCCACAGCAGCCCCCTGCCCCTGATTCTGTACACATAGGCCTTGTTATTGGGGGTGGAGAAGTTGAGGTCCAGTGGCCCAGGGGTCCCCACTTCAGCTGCACAGCAAGATGCCTCTCTGGAGGTGTGGTAAACGGCTAATCAGGTCAGCATAGCAGGGCTCACCTGTCATCTCAGCTACCCCAGAGGCTGAAACAGGAGCATTTTAAGTTCAAGCCCAGCTAATTTATTGGGACCCTATCTCAAAATAGGAGGAGGAAGAGAAGTTCTGGGGATACAGCTCAGCATTCCCTGGGTTCAACCCCTAGATTAGGACCCCACCCAGAGCTGCTGAATGAGGACCCCTTCAATATGTGCTTCCAGGAATCTGCATGTCTGTAGAGCTCCCCAAGTTCAGTGCAGGAGCACCCAGCCTTTCCAGGTCTCCAGACCAGGACAGCACTGTCCTTCCAGCGGAGGTGCCAGGGGACTCCCATGCCAGGCCTGAGATGTCACAGCAGATCAGGACAGGCTGTCTGTGTCGGGGCCACACGCCAACCACCTCAGAAGAAAGGTGCTTCTAGGCAGGGAGAACAAAAGTTTTTCCTTTTAATAATTGCATCTTTTGAGCCAGGCATGGTGGTGTACCCTTGTAATCCCAGCACTTGGGAAGCTGAGGCAGAAAGATCATTGCAAGTTCGAGACCAGCCTGGGCTACAAAGTGAGCTCAAGGCCAGCCTGAACTGCACAGCAAGATCCTCTCTTAAAAAAGACAAAATAAACATAATCACATTTGCATCTTTTTTTTTTTTTTTTTTTTTTTTTTTTTGGTACTAGGGATAGAACTCCTGACCTTGTACTTGCCAGGCAGGCACTTGTACCGCTGAGCTAAATCCCCAGCCCTTAACTGCATCTTTTATTTAGTGTGTTAGCTTTATTTCTCAAGTGTGCAGGACAGTTTTGGAAAAGTCCAAAATAGGTGGTACTGAATTAATTAAAAAAAAGACAAGTGGACTGGAGATGTAGCTCGTTGGTAGAGAATTTACCTAATTTCTGCAAGGTCCTGGGTTCAGTCCTCAGCACCGTAATAAATAAAGAAAGTAATTGTTAAAAAAAAAAAAAAAAAAAAGAAAGTAATTGTTAAAAATAAAAGGAGACAGGCAGTGAGAAAAGTGTGTACAGGTGCTGCTCACATGTGGCCGTGGAGAAGGCAGGGCTGGTCACCCCACATTGCATCGCCCTGCCAAGGGTCAGTGAGCTGTCTCAGGGCCCGGAGCCTCCGCTGCCGAGTCCTCCGGGCTGCTCCTCCCTCTCCTGGGCTGGCCAGGGTGAGGGTGGGGGCCGCTCCCTGCTGTCCTGCCCGGCCCCTCACCCCCTTTGCCGTCAGGTGCTGGAAACCTGCATGAAGAGCTGTGGCAAGAGGTTCCACGATGAGGTGGGCAAGTTCCGCTTCCTGAATGAGCTCATCAAGGTCGTTTCTCCCAAGGTGGGTGCCCCAGGCTGAAGGCCAACCCCTTCCCACCTGGGCTGGGGGCCACCCTTCCCACTGACCAGAGGGAGGGGCCGGGTGCCACCAAACTGGCATTGCCTGAGAGCTTGCCCAGAGCCACGATGGCTGGACACTTACTGGGCGGCAGCGCCTCACCTGGTCTCTGGCAGGTTTCTCACACTCCGGAGTGGCCTCCTTGGGCTGTGGCATCCAAGGCCACAAACCCAAGCTCGCCAGTGGGCCGGACCCCGCTCTGGCCTTTGGTGCGAGCGGATCTTCTGTGGGTGTGAGCGTGCTCAGTAGCCTGGATAAGGGCCGTCCCTCAGCCTCCCTCACTCAGCACCTCACTCAGAGCTGCAGAATGATCCTGCGGCCTGCATTCCCCGCCAGGGAGGCTGAGAGCTGCCTCTCCCACCCTGCTGCGGGTCCCAGGCCCACCGTTCCACACTTGCCTCTTCCCCAGTCAGCTGGAAGCTTCTGGCTCCCTCTCAAGGTCACAGAGTTGTCCATGGGCTGCCTCTGAGACGGCTCTGTGCTGCTCTGGGCCTTCCCTGGTCAGCTCTTCATCTCCAGCACAAATGGAGAAACTGAGTCATGGGGGGAGGTTGACACATGCAGTAAGTGGCAGAGCGAGGAGGTAGCTCAGCTTTCCCAAGCTGCTTGGGCAGGGACTGAGGACCCCAAAGGCAGAGCTTTCGCAGGGGGGCAGCTGCTGGGGCTGGACTCAGGGCTGTCACAAGTAGGGCCGGCAATGTCACAGTGTCCCTCTCCTCCCACTGAAGTACCTGGGTTCCCGGACGTCAGAGAAGGTGAAGAACAAGATCTTAGAGCTGCTGTACAGCTGGACGGTCGGTCTGCCTGAGGAGGTGAAGATCGCAGAGGCCTACCAGATGCTGAAGAAGCAGGGTGAGGCACCTGCGCCCCCACTGGGGTCCAGCAGCTTCAGGGGCTTCAGGCCAGCAAGGTCACAGTCCGTCCTGAACTTCCAGAGAACAAATGGTCAGTGGGACCTTGGATGGCTGTGCCAGAGGCCAGCCTGGGAGAGAAAAGAGGGTTTGAGTCAGTTTTCCCTAGTGTGGCCTCAAAATTCAGGTACTCAAACCCTCTCCCCATGCAGTTTGATGCACAGCTCAGAGGAAGGCCCGAGCTCTCAGGCCAGGGCCAGCATGCTTGCTGCCCCTGTCCCTCCCCAGCCCCCCACTGTCCCTGGCCAGGGCCTACTGACAGCCTTCCTGTCTACCCCAGGCATCGTGAAGGCTGACCCCAAGCTACCAGAGGATGCCATCTTTCCCCAGCCCCCTCCTCGGCCCAAGAATGTGATCTTTGAAGATGAAGAGAAGTCCAAGGTGAGGCTGCGGGGAGGAGCTGGGCACCCGGCCTGAGTACAGTCCCTGCAGGGCGTGATGGGCACTGTTTACCTAACACTTCGTGTTGCCATGTATTTCTTATATGTTTCATACACATGGGTGATGCCCCTGGGTTAGCCTGAAGGATTTGCAGGTCTCTTTTCTTTTTTTTTTTTGAGACAGGGTTTCTCTGTGTCATTCAGGCTGGCCTTGAGCTGTGTAGCCCAGGGTGGCCCTAAACTCCTATTGATCCTCCTGCCTCAGCCTCCTGAGTGCTGGGATGACGGAGGCATGCACCATGCCCAGCTGAGTTTGCATGTCTTTATGTAATAATGGATTAGATGATAAGGACGAAACAGAGGTGGAGGTGGGCTCCTCCCAGCCCTGCTGGCCCCAAAGGGTGACCACATGTCCATGCTCAGGAATGTTCTCAGAGTGCCACAGTGATGCAGGAGGCTGCCAGGGAGCCCCCTCCCCCGCTCTGGGGGAGGCCTTTGCTCTCAGCACCTCTCTAGTCCGATAGGACAGCCACCACGGCTTGGTAAATTCTTACCATTCCCCAAAGCTTTAATAACTTGTCCAGGTCCTGAGGTTGGGAATCAGGGTCCTGGCCTGTGGCCCCCAGCCTGGCACTCACAGTCACACCCCGTCCCTGCAGATGCTGGCACGCCTGCTGAAGAGCTCCCACCCCGAGGACCTCCGAGCGGCCAACAAGCTCATCAAGGAGATGGTGCAGGAGGTGAGGTGGTACTAGGGCGTGGTGCTGGAACTGGGATGTGCAAGGGGTCAGGGGTCCTGCAGGGCCACAGCTGCCTGAGCTAACACCCCTGCCCAGACATCTGTGAGGCCGAGGCTGCTGCGCCTTGCCGTCAGACGCAAGCGGCAGGTGGGCATGGCTTGGGTAGATTGGTGCGCAGAAACCTGGGTTCCACCCCAGCCCTGCAAAAAAAAAAAAAAAAAGAATTGAGCTTTAAGATATGTTGGTGTGTAGGGGCTGGGGATTTAGCTTAGCCTTTAAGTGCCTGCCTAGCAAGCGTGTGGCCATGAGTTTGAGCTCCGGCACCAAATAAAGATACGTTGGTTGTGTATGTGTGTGTAAAGACGCCTAGACAGTCTTGCATGCATAATGGATGAGTAAATAGAGCCTGAGGGTGTACACTGAATCTTTGGTGGGGGCAGTACTGAGGATTGAACCCAGGCCCTTCACACTAAGCTACAGCCCCAGCCCTTTTTACAATTTATTTTATTATTTATTTTGGAACCAAGAATCACATTCATGACCTTGTACTTACTTGCCAGGCAGGCACTTATGCCACTGTATCCCCAGCCCTAATTTTTTTTTTTTTTTAATATTGAGATAAAGTCTCACTAAGTTGCTAAATTCCCCAGGCCGGCTTGAACTTACCTCCTGCCTCAGTCTCCTGGTGTGCTGGGATTACAGATATATGCCACAGCACCCAGCTGTAAATACTTTATTGACTAGGGAAACTCATCAGTGAGCCAGGTGTGGTGGTGTACCTGTAATCCCAGCACTCAGGAGGCTGAGACAGGGGGATCACTGAGAGTTTTGAGGCCAGCCTAGGCTACATAGTGAGTTCAAATCTAGTCAAAAATACATAGTGAGAACCTGTCTCAAATAAATAATAGATGATAGATTGACAAACAGACATAGATAGATGGGGCCGGGATACAACTAATGGTTAGAGCGCCTCTGGCTTCAGTCCCCATTACTGCAAAAAAGTGTGCAGGGTAGTGGTTAATCGCCAGAAGAGAGCAGAGCTCATGTCCGGTGTAAAAGGTAAGGGCTGCAAAGCAGACCTCGGGGCAGGAGATGGGCCACCCGGCTGTGGCTCCGTGCAGCTAGGTCATCAGAGGTTTTTCCTGGGAGAAATTTGGGTTTTGCATAAAAAGTGTGGGCCTCACCTAAGCTGCCAGCCCATCCTTCCAGGAGGCGAGCTCCCCCTCAGGCTGCTAGGCCAGTCATTGGCTTGGGCCCTGGACCAGCCGCCAGACCCTCTGGGTCGTCTGCCCAGGCTGTGGAAGATGCGTCCAGGAGCCAGAGGGCTCCGATTCGGGGTTGTCTAGAAGGGCCACACTGTGCCCTGATACCTGGGAGTCAGGAACTGCCAAGGAGGAGATGCTGCCCGCTGCACAGCATATGCCTACCCACCGCCCCATCTGGAGGGAGGAATGTACTGGCAGGAAGACTGAGTGAATGGGTGGGGTCACTCCCTGTGGCCACCTTTGAAGGCCCACATTTGGTACCCAGACAGTGGGAGGGACTCTGCACTAGCTTCTAGGTAGTGCTTGCTGTCACTGCTAAGCATGGGTGAGACACAGGAGGGCAGGGGTCACTGAGAGCCCCACGTGTAGGTCTGGGGCTCTGGCCCTTCAGAGGCACCATGGGGAATGCGGCTCCCAGGCTCTGGTGGAGATCACAGTGGGCTCCTGCAGAAGCTGGGCCTGGGGACTCTGGCAGCATGGGTGGAAGTGACCACAGCAAAGGCAGAGGGCTTCCAGGGCCAGCGTGCCTGCCCAGAGCCGGCATCATACCCAGCCAGACCCTGCATGCTGCTTCAGGGCAGGCAGGGCCTGATGCCAGCTCTCACCGTGCACTCTGGCCTTCGCAGGACCAGAAGCGGATGGAAAAGATCTCAAAGCGGGTGAATGCCATCGAGGAGGTAAACAATAACGTGAAGCTGCTGACGGAGATGGTAACCACCTACAGCCAGGGCGGCGCAGCGGCTGGCAGCAGCGAGGACCTCATGAAGGTGCACTGTCCCTGCCCCACTCAGCCCGTGCCAGAGGCCCCCAGCACCCACTGGCCCTGACACTCCCACGCTCCTGTCCCCAGGAGCTGTACCAGCGCTGTGAGCGGATGCGACCCACGCTGTTTCGACTGGCCAGCGACACGGAGGACAATGACGAAGCCTTAGGTGAGCCCTGTCCAGGAACCCAAGTCCAGCATTGTCCTCTCAACTCCCAGGCCCTGCCGGCAGCTGCAGTTGCAAGGAGCTTCCACGAGGGGGCCCCCTTTTCCAGCACTGACTTGGGTTGCTGGCTAAAAAGAAGGAAGGGAAGAGCTGCTGCCCCCCACACCTGGGAGACAGCTCATTAGCAGGCATCTCACCCGCTGCCACCAGCTGCAGAGAGGACTGTCTCCTTGTCACAGCTGGGCTCAGAGAGGGAAGTGACTGGCAGAGTGTTAGGGGAGCCGGGGTGAACCGAGGACTGTCTGCCTCCCACTGCTGCCTCCATCCCGGCAGGCCTGTAATCCCGGCGCTCTGGGAGGCTGAGGCAGGAGAACAAGTTCAAGCCCAGCCAGGCAATTTAGCAAGACCCCATCTCAAAGTTAAAAGTAGAAAGGACTGGGGAGGTAGTTGAGTGTGAAAGCCTTGGATTCAATTGCTAGGACCACAAAAAAAGAACTAGAAACCTAGAATGGATCCTGCAGCCCAAGCATCTCCAGAGTTGAGCCTGGTGACTTCTGCCAAGGCCACAGGTCCTTTTCCTTGTCTCTGCCTGCTGTCAGCTGGATACCCCTGGCATCTCCTCCCCGCCTGCAGCAGTGCAGCAGCCCCTCCATGCCCTGGCACTGGGCGCCCCCACCCCAGGGCTCGCTGCCCCGGTCCCCGAGGAGGGAGCGTGTGAGGACCTGTCCTGGGCCCTCGGGGATGGGGCCATGATCCCTGGGGCCAATGCCTCCTCTCAGAGCTCGCAGCCACAAGAGGAGATGGTCAATGAACCACAGCCCTGAGCAGCGGCTGGAGAAGAATGAGCAGTGTGGGTAGGGGTCAGGGAAGACCTGAGGGGTGGCTTTGGGGTGAGGAGAGAGAGCGGTAAGGGATGGGGCTGCACTGATCTTCAGTATGTGCGGAGGCAGAGGCCGCACAGAGCCCTGGGAAGGCTGCGTGTCCCGGGTATTCTGGGACAGCCAGGCCGTGTGGTGCCTGAGCAAGTGAGATGTGGTCTTAGGATGAGACGGGTGTGGCAGCCTCTCCCCTCACGCAAGCTGGACTGGAGGGGGTGCTCGTCTCCCCCCAGAAACCCCCCCCCACATCTCCTTCCCTCCCTGCCTTGCAGCGGAGATCCTGCAGGCCAATGACAACCTCACCCAGGTGATCAATCTGTATAAGCAACTGGTTCGGGGCGAGGAGGTCAACGGCGACGCCGCAGCGGGCTCCATCCCTGGTGAGGGGCAGGCCAGCTGGGGGGTGGGGCGCTGCAGGCCACAGGTGGTACGCTGGCCCCAGAGCTGATGACATTGACTGCCAGGTGACCTGTGCCAGGCCTGCAGCTGTGGGGAAGAAGTTGGGGCCAGAGGGGATGGCGAGGACATTCAAAGAAGGCAGGCTTTTCTTCACTTGAAGTTCTGGCCTGTGCCGGGGCTGTGGGACACCCCCAGAGCTCGATTTGGTGATCAGAGAGGAGGGAGGATGGGACGCAAAACATCACAGCTCCGGCCTAAGTGGGCCTCCCCCAGGGTTCACAGAAGAGGCTGTGCACGGCCCTGCTGGGGAGGGGAGGCAGGCGCTGCACAGAGGCAGCACAGTGTCTGAGGATGGCTGGCATTTGGCAGCAGGGCCAAGCAGGGACCTCACAGCAACGCCAAGGTCGAAGGGGGCCGCCAAGCAGCTGGCGGTCCCATAAGGCCACTAGCAGTGGTGTCATAGGCCATTGTAGCACTCCACCTGGGTGCTCGAGCCAGGGATATGTTCCCAAGCTGCCCCTGTCAGTAAGGGGGGTGTGACTGTGTTGTGAACAGAAGCACCCCCTGTGCTGTAGAAAGGGCCCCGCAGGCAGGTTCCAGTGCCAGGCTGGTGCAGCCATGACGAGGAGGCTGGTGGGGAGGTGTCATTACCACAACAATTACCTCGGAGCACCCCGAGAGCCACGTGGCACCCAGGATTTACCCACTGTCCCCTCCCACCCCAGGGAGCACCTCAGCCCTGCTGGACCTTTCAGGCCTGGACCTCCCTCCTACTGGCACTGCCTACCCAGCCATGCCCACCCGCCCTGGTGACCAAGCCAGTCCTGATCGGCCCAGTGCCTCAGTTTCCCTGCTTGACGACGAGCTCATGTCTCTGGGTAAGGAAGGGCTCAGTGGAAGAAGGAGTGGCACCCCGCAGGGCAGCTGCCCCTGCAACCAGCTGAGCACCAGTATTAAGTGCTGCTGACAGGAACCTAGTAGAGATGTGGGTGCACCCCAGACCACATCCCAGTTGAAGAGGCCAGGGCTCAGAGAAGCTCAGAGCAGTGCATACAGTCTCAGGGTGAGCCTGCCAGCCCAGCCTGCCCGCTGACAAGCCAGCATACCCAGGGCCTGGACATGGCACAGCTGAGGGATTCCCCTGCAGCAGGCTGGACCTAGAGTTGGCGCTGTCTGTGCAAAAGCCCAGCATTTCTCCACCCAAATGAGGGCTTCACACCAAAAGCTGCAGTAGCTGCAGACCAGCTAAGGCCAGGGGCCCACTATAGGCCCCAGAGCTCAGCAGGGAGCCAGCCTCACCTCAGGGAAGCTGGGCAGGCCCTCGGATGGAGCTGGGTTCAGCAAGAGAGGTGCAGGGGCTGCCCAAAGCAATCTGTAGGGACAGAGGTGTGGATGCTGTCCCTATGTTCTCCCGAGTCTCTCTGAGTTGGGGTGCAGCTCACTGGCGGGGTGCTTGCCTAGCATACACAAGGTGATGGGGGCCCTGGGCCTGGCAGTATGCCCAACACAGCACCTGCTGCTGTGCCCGCCTCTCCCCAGGCCATCCTCCCCACAACCTCAGGGGCCAGAGCAGCCTGTGTCCCCAGTGGACGGGTGAGGACAGCAGCAGCAGGGGCTGTGACTCTGCCACGGCCTGCCGAGCCACTCTGCTACTCTGCCCGTCTCTGAAGAGCAGGACAGGGAAGTCACATTGTAGTAGTGGCAGAGCACACACCCCGCCACCTCCACCCCTTGAGAGAAGCAAGGTGTGCTTTACACTCCCCGCCCTCAGCCGCTTCCGCTTCCGCAGCCAAGGCCTCCTGCTTCCTTCTGGTTTCTTCTCAAAGGCCACAAGGAACCAGAAGGCCGGACAGACCACAGCGGCTCGGGCCCTGGAGAGGCTCGGACCGACAGGAGTGCTGGTCCTGCTTGCTCAAGTGGTGGCAGGGTGGCGGGCAGGCTGCTGTGTGCTGTCCGTCGGCCGGTGAAGTGTCTAGTTCACTGCACATCGTACTCCTGAGATAGCTGCCGCTGTGGCTTTTTGTTTTTGTTTTCTTTTTGAGAACAGGGACCAGCCTAGCCTGTCCCTGTCCTCAAGTCAGGAACGGCAAAGGGATGGAGGGGCGGAGAGAAGCCCAAAAAGGGGTCTCGCTATGCAGTTCAGGCTGGCATTGAATTCACTTTGCAGCCCAGACTAGCCTCGAACTTGAAGCAATCTGCTTGCCTCAGCCTCCCCAGTGCTGAGATTACAGGCATGTGTCACATTCCCAGCCGCGGCTTCATTTTAAAAGTGAAGCCCAGGAGGCTGTGAGCCCCAGGTCTCTCAGCAGAGTGGCAGAGCTGTGTCCAGGCTCCTGCAGTGGGGCTGTGCTGGAACCACAGCTGGACGTGGCTGCTTTCCGGCTGTGTGGCCTGGGCTGGGTCACATAACCCCTCCAGGCTGCCCTTTGTTTTTGTTTGTGGTACTGAAAGCTGTGCTCCTCAGCTGCATCCCAGTGCAGCCCACAGCTGCCCCTTAAGGTTTGTGGGCTGAGGGAGACCACGGCCAGCCCCTGGGGGCATGACAAATGCCAACAGTCACCTCTGCCCACCAGAGGACGCTTCCTCTGGCCCTCACTCCTCAGGATTTGCTAAAAACTAAATAACGCATCTTCTCTAGGTCTAATTTGGGATGTTCGGGGCAGTGGGCAGGGCGATCAGTGGACTTCAATCTACCCCGTCATTGTACACATAGGGACACTGAGGCTCAGAGGACAGTGCCCTCCCCATGGCGACTCAGGGCATTTGCAGGCCGGTCATCAGGCAGTCACGGTGCGGGGCCCTGAGGTTGGGAACCACTTCCCTTCCAGTCGCTCAGCTTGGGACAGAGCGGAGAGTCCTGTTTCTGTCACCAAGCAGGCAAGAAGGAAGTGAGTGTAGACTGCAGGATGGGCAGTCAAGACTCAGGGTTTTCCGCTAAGCCGAGCCCCTCAGAAACAGGGCGGGAGCAGGACCCCAGGCAGCACGCAGCCCCCTTGCCTCAGCGCCCTGCCTTAACCCTGTCTCTTCTGCTTCCCCCAGGCCTGAGCGACCCCACACCCCCTGCAGGCCCCAGTTTGGATGGGGCTGGATGGAACAGTTTCCAGGTAGGAAGGACCAGCCTAGCCTGTCCCTTTCCTCAAGTCAGGAATGGCAAAGGGATGGAGGGGCAGAGAGAAGCCCAAGGGACCCGAGATGCCCACTCCAGGGAGAGCAAAGGTAGCCAGTTCTCTCCCTACCTCTGCTTAGCCTGAGACCACAACCCAGCCTTAGGGTAGATAGAGGTGGGACTCCTGTCACTTGCAAGGTGGGAGGGTCTTCTGAGCGCCCTAACCACCTGCTGTCTTTGCCCCCCAGTCCTCGGAAGGCACTGAGCCCCCAGTCCCTGCTCTGGCTCAGGCACCCAGCACAGATAGCCAACCAGCAGCACAGACGCCCCTGCCCACGAGCAGTGGCCTGGCCGACCTGGACCTCCTGGGAAAGACCCTACTGCAGCAGTCGTTGCCCCCCGAGAACCAGCAAGTGCGGTGGTGAGGGCTGCATCGGTGGCACGGGTTGGGAGCCAGCCCAGTCCCCACAGCAGCAGCTTCTAACAAGGACAGGCTCATTGCTGGCTGTTACAGGAACTGGGAGCAGGAGTGACCACAGCAAACTCAGTGGTGTCCCCAGAGCAGAGAGATTACATGCCCACTCACGCCCTTGGGATGCCAGCACCCTAGAGAAAGGCCAGAGGGACAGGGGACTGCCAGCCCCAGAGAGAATGCTGGGTGTGGGGCAGTGGACGGCAAGGAGACCATGATGGTGGGACTGGAGCCAGGGAGCACAGCGTCTCCGGGACCCTGATCTCTCAGCACACACCAGAGCCCTTCTTAATGCACTGTCCCCCAATAAGGGAGAAGCAGCAGCCCGCCCCCCGGCTCACACTCCGAGACCTGCAGAACAAGAGCACCTGCGGCTCACCCAGCTCAGGTCCAGCCAGCCTCCTCCACACTGGGTCCCCAGAGCTGCCGGGGCCACTGCAGCAGCCGGCACCCACCGAGCTGTCCCTCGCCAATGTCACTGTGCCCCTGGAGTCCATCAAACCCAGTGAGTGGGGCACAGTCGGCCAGCTCCCTGCCTCCTAACCCCCCCCCCCCCCAGCGAGCCCTCCCCTTCTCTAACCCGGCTCCTGTACATTGTTCCGCCAAAAGCTCTGGGTCACACAGGGCCCGCCTAGGACATCTCAGATGGGCCCAGATCCCCTCACCTCCCAGGTTTTGGCCTCCCTGAAATTATAGTCAAACTGATAAAAGATCCAGCTCCATTTCGAGCATGGTGGCACATGCCTGTAATCCCACCACTTGAGAGGCTGAGGCAGGAGAATCATTATGCGATTGAGACCAGTCTGGGCTACAAAGTGAGTTCAAGGCCTGCCTGAACTGCATAGTGAGACCTTGTCTCAAAAAGATACACTCTCTCTCTCTCTCTCTCTCTCTCTTCCTCTCTCCCTCTCTCCCTCTCTCCCTCTCCAGCTCCAGACTGGGGCATCTCTCTGGTACAGACCTTGAGCAGACAGGACTGGTCAGGCCTTGGCATCACCCATCTCCGTGATGGCAATATGACTCAGGTGGTCACACCCTGTGTTTCCCTGTCTTACCAGCAATAGGACCCTGAGCCCGGAGCAGGGAGTGACTGTAACAGGATCATACAGTGAGAGGATGATCAAAGCTCTTTCCAGCCCAGGGCAGGAGTAAACCTGGCTCTGCACCAGTTGCAGCTGGGTGTCACCTGTACCATCAGACTCAGTGCCCTGACCCTGAAGTCCAGGCATGGCCCTGGGAGCAGGCTGGCCGACCCACCCACTGCCTCCCTCTTTTCCCCCCCAGGCAGCATCTTGCCCGTGACTGTGTATGACCAGCACGGCTTCCGAGTCCTCTTCCACTTCGCCCGAGACCCGCTGCCAGGGCGCTCGGATGTGCTGGTGGTGGTGGTTTCCATGCTGAGCACCGCCCCACAGCCCATCCGCAACATCGTTTTTCAGTCAGCTGTCCCCAAGGTGACACGACAGGGCAGGGTGACATGGGGCTTGGGAGCCTGGGCCATGAAATAGGTGGAATCACTGCTTCTCCCCCACTGCTGGGGGTGGGATCAGCAGGTGGGCGGAGAGCAGGGGATTCCGAGGGCAGAATCCCCAGGACCCTCAAAGGGGTGCCTGGAGGCTGGACCTGGTCCTCAGTGGCAGTGACAGCATCCAAGCCAGCTTCGACCCTCCTGCCCGCCCGCCACAGGTCATGAAGGTGAAGCTCCAGCCACCATCAGGCACAGAGCTGCCAGCATTCAACCCCATCGTCCACCCCTCGGCCATCACCCAGGTCCTGCTCCTCGCCAACCCCCAGAAGGTGAGGGGCTGGCTGTGACAGGGCGGTGCTTAGGGGGCCCCCTCCTCCCTCGCTGACCATCTGCCTCGACTCCTGTGCCCAGGAAAAGGTTCGCCTCCGCTACAAGCTCATCTTCACCATGGGCGAGCAGACCTACAATGAGATGGGGGACGTGGACCAGTTCCCCCCACCGGAAACCTGGGGGAGCCTCTAGAACACAGGAGCTGGGGGAGGAGGGGACAGAGGCACCACTCCTTGTCCAGCCTGGGCCGAGGCCTTGGTGTTCTAGGACACTCTCTGTTCCCCAGGGCCACGTACCCCTGGCCTGGTGCTTCTCCCCTCACTGCTGGGGCAGCCAAGTGACTCCTGCCCCCCAAGCTCTGCTCCCGGATGCTGAGCCAAACCCAGCAGGAGACTGGGTTTGCACAGCTGGGTGTCCGGAGCAGGGGAGCTTCAGGCTGGGAAGGACTTGGGGTCCAGAGGAGGACACACAACCTGCCGCCAGGCCCAGCCCTGTCCTGGCCTGGGGTGGGTCTTCCCCACCTGTCTTATGCCTTATGGGAAGGCCCAACCATAGGCCGAGCTGGAGCTGGGGACCAGCAGGCCTCCTCCATAGGAACCCAGAACTGTGGGGGCGGCGCCTGTGCCCCCAGCTCTTTGCACTCTGGTATGTGGTTTGGCTCTCTGCTTTTCTTTGGGAGTGGCCCTGTGGCTACATTCCTGGGGCCATTTGGGGGAGCCCCACTCTTGGGGCCTCCCTTTTTGGTCAGCCTCCTAAGGGGCTATGGAGCCCAAGGGTGGTGCCAGGGGCAGGTGGCCTCCAAGGGGCTGCCGAGCCCCTGGGTTTCTCAGTGTGTCGCCTTCACTCATTGGCCTTCCTGGGGCCTCCTGTGGCCATCGTCTCACCTCTGTCCATCGCCTGTCCGTGGGCAGAAGTGGGGTCAGTATGTATGAGAGCAGGAGTATTTATGAAAATAAACATCCTTTTTCCTGGCCCTCCTGATGTTGGGGGTCATCCCACAGACCTCCCTGCTGCCATCTTTGGGGAATCAGGCCTCTCCCCATCCCCACACCCATGCTGCACCAGAAGAGGCCCTGTGCAGGGGCTGTGGCCGCTGCTGAGTCACCAGAGGGCCCTGAAGCGTCCCAGCTGGAAGTGAGGGGCTGCAGCTGCTGCGGCCCTGAGGGGAGCTGGCTGCAGAGCTTCCCCTCGGTCTGCACCCTCAACACACAGAGGCCCCCAGGCCCCAGCTTCCTGGAGGCCGCCCCCCGGAAGCAGGTTCAGTCCAAGCCTGTGTCAGGACCGCCCCTACTCCTGGATCAGGGTTTTCTCTGAGTGGTGGCTGGGGCCACCCCAGGGGCAGGGCGGGGCCAAGGGACCATGGGGCTGCCAGGGAGCCGGTCCAGAGGAAGAGCCAGGCCCACACTGCTGCGCCTGCTCTGGGCAGGGAGTCCCTCAGCAAGGGCGCTGCCCATCCTTTCTCCTCAAATAGCCATTTGCACTCTGATGTTTCCTAGCCTGCGCTTGGCAAGAGTAGCCAGGCTGACCCCTCCCCGGCCACGCTGCAGGTGCAGGGTGAGGGCTTCTCCAGCTAAGGTCCTACCCTGTCCCCTGCCCACCTGGAGCCACCTCATCACTGACTGAGTTTGGAGTCTGCCTGCTGTGTGACTCTGAGCGAAGTGCTTCCCTTTCTGGCCTTTATCTAGTTCCTTGTCTGAAAGGCTGGGGGCGGGTAACCTCTGAGGAGCTCCCTCGTGCCCCCCTTGCCCTCACTCGTCTCCGTCTGTTACCAGTGCGCTCAGAAAGCCCTGTACCACACACACCCTGATCCTCCCAGAAGCTGCTGATTCAGACAGGTCTGGAGTTAGAGGTCAGGCTAGAGAGCAGCATTCTCCGTCCCTTGAAAGGTGACTGCCGACACCACGCTGAGAGCATGGGGACTTCCCAGACCTCAAAACCACATGTCCATCTTGACTTGTTTGGCCAGAGCCAGCAGTCTATTTTTTAGTGACTGCGGCACACCATGCTCATGTGTTTAAGGGAGCCAGAAGCAACACTGAGGCCTCTGCTAGCCCACAGAGGCTACCTGTGCCCTCCCCATCTCTGCAAGCCGCAGCCAGCCCTGTCCAGCAGGCAGATAAGGGGGGCCTGGGCCGCCCCAGAGCTGCTCTGCTCCCTGCAGCTCCTGAACCATGTTAAAAATAGGCTTGGCAGAATGGTGTTAGACGTCACCATGCAAGGTGCAAGGCAGAGTGGGGGCCAGTGGTCTCGAGACGCGGTGTCCACTATGGTGGCGCCTTGCTCTTACCTCCCAACCACACTCCACCACCACCAGCCCCTGCCCACCCAGCCTGTGCTGCTCTGGGCCAGTGTCCAGGGCACACACTGCCCCAGGGCTGCCAGGACTGTGACTTGACTGAGTTGTGGGGCCTCAGCCCGAGCCAAGCTTTCTGGAAAATTCTGGGGTTGGGGGAAAGCACACCTGCCCCCAGCTGCTCCATAAGGAAGCCCCCCACCGTTGGGAAGGCCAGGGCAGTATGGCCACAAACAGCAATGTGTCAGCCTGCCCAAGATGGGGTGTTAACTGCTGCCACCACCTAGGTGTCTGTGCTGGCAGCCCTGCCCACATCCTGCTCAGACTAGCACTAGAGTTGCCACCTGGAGCTTGACAAGAAGTTCTCACGACAAATCTGTGCCCAGGCTGCTGGGCCCCTGTGCTGCTGGGCCCCTCTCAGGGGCCGAGGGCTAAGGCAGGGAGGCAGGGACGTTAACAGCATTGGGACAGTGCTTTCTGGACCAGTGGGAAGGAACCGTGGCCTGGAGGGCCATCAGAGCTGCCTCCTCGGGGCCTGGGCCAGGATCCTGTAAAGTGGGGACAGAGGCAGGAATGGGGAAATGTGTCTTTCCATTCCCGCCTTCCTGTGTGCTGAATGATGAGTTAAGAAATGGTGGCAGGTTTATTTATGTCTGTATATATATATATGTATATATATATATATATTTTTTTTTTGGTCTTTTTTTTTTTTATCGGTACCAGGGATCGAACTCACGACTGCCTGCTTGCAAGGCAGGCGCTTATGCCGCCGAGCTAAATCCCCAGCCCCTATGTCTGTGTATATTGGCTTTTTCTGAGACAGGGTTCACTGTGCAGCTCAGGCTGGCCTGGAACTCACTGTGCACCCAGGCTGCCCTCAAACTCAGAGCCACCCTCCTGCCCCAGCCTCCTAAGGGCTGGGAGTGCAGGTGTGCGCCACCAGGCCTGGCTTTGCCTTCATTTAATCCAGCGACCCAGGTTCATCAGGGAGGTTGCTGGGACAGATAACTCAGCTAGTGACGGTCGGAGCTGGGCAGGCCAGCACCATCCACATTATCCCCCAACTCTGTCCTTGCAGATTGAGTGTCCACTGACACACCCTCACTTGCCACGATGGCAGTAGGGCCCAGAGGACTCAGCATGGGCCTGATAAGACCCACGCCATCCCCAGGAGAGACCCAGCCTGGTGGAAAGCCATCAGGTCGTCGGGCCCCTTAGGGAGGGCATGAGTTGGCTGGTGACCTCTAAGGTCCTCTCTGCACTCATGGGTCTAAAGAGCCTCAGTCCCCACCTTCACTACGGAATCTCCTGAGTCTGTCAGTCTCTAATTGCAACATCAGATGATCCAACCTCTTAGGCCTCCAGACATCTGTGATTCAACACAGAGTGTGACAAGGGAGGCCCCAAGGTACACAGGTCACCCAGCCAAGAGGTACGGCAGCCCCACCCAGCTCGGTCCCAGAAGTCCCCGAGTCCAGCTTGGGGGGAGGAGGGAAGAATGGGGAGCCGTCTGTTCATTGGGACTCTGGTCCTTTTCTGGTACAGCTGGACCAGACAGGTTGGGGAGGACAGAGGTGTAAGTCAGATCTTGCCCTTAGGAACCTTGGGGCCAGCTGAGCAAATGGACAGGCTCAAGTCCAGTGTGACATGGGCAAGAGACTGGACCAGAACAGGGCAGGTGCATCATGGAGTTCAGTGACACCCCCCCCCCCCGCCAAGGGACAGGAGGGTGGGACCTGCTGTCCAGCTGCTGACTTGGGAATCTTCAGTTTCGTCAGGCTGCACCTGGTAGGAGTCTACCCATTGCAGGGATGGAAAATCAAGCCCCAATAAAGTTCCCTGGCCAGTGGGGAGGGCAGAAAAAAGGCCAGAACCAGAACCCAAACCTTCCAAAAGGAAGGCCGAATTTCAGGAAGCCAGGTCTACACTGCACTATGGTGTGTGCCTCCATCAGAGTGCTCCCCAAGCCCTGCCCCCTCTCTAAACCCCTGCTCCCAAATCACTGGCCAGCAACCTTCTGCTTGAGGAAAAGGCAACCCTGGCTGACCCTGGCCAGAGGCGTCGATCCTGGGTGCTGCCACCAACTTCCGGCAGCCCGGCAGGCAGGCTTCTGCTCAGGTGGGCTCCCCCACAGCTGGGGGCCTACAGCCGGCTACACCTGCTGTGGGGTCTGCTTGGCTCTGCCTTCAGGGAGTGGAGGGGCAGCCAGCTTCCAGGTACCAGGCGCTGGACTGAGAAGATGGAGCTGTCTGAGGTTGGGATGCTGTCTTCAAAAAGTGTCCGGTCTGAGCCGGACATGTTGGCTCAGCCTGTAATCCCAGTACTCCCGAGGCTGAGGCAGGAGGATCGTTGCGAGTTCAAGACTAGACTGGGCTACAAAGTGAGCTCAGGGCCTGCTTGAACTGCACAGAGAGACACTGTCTCAAAAAGACTTTTAAAAAAAGTGTCCAGTCTGTACAGGGTCACACAGCGGGTGCTCAGGGAGTCAGGAAGGGAACTGAAACTAATAGAGAAGTGCAGCAGCTGGCAGGGTCCTCCTGAGCCCCTCACCCGCACCCCTCGCCAGGGTCCTGTGCTCCAGGGGCGCATGGGCAGGGACAGGAGGGTCTACACTGTGGCCCAGCCTCTCTGGTCTTCCATGAAGCAGCAGGCAGGAAGCACCCACTGTGTGCCCAGCTTGGTTCTGTGTGGAGAGCTAAACTTGGAGTGAGTTTGGGGGCAACAGGAGCACCCCACCAGTGCTTCACAGCAAGGAGAGCCAGAGACAAAGCCGTCCAGGAGGAAGCTTTACAATGGAAGAGGCCGCCCCTAAGGCCTGTGCTTTGGGAGGCTTCCTGGTGGCTGGAGGGCGGCACGAACCCCCTTGAGCAGGGACAGGAGCGGGGACCTGGAGGCTGGATGGGCAGGCAGAGGTATCTTGTCCACCTAGCAGGATGGGCAGGGCCAGGACAGCTGTCCCTTCAGGTCATTAGACACACAGAGGGCCTCCGCCTGTCCCCAGGTCCCCGAGAAGGGAGCAGAGCCCAGGATCCTCCCGGTGTTCCAAGGGCCAGGACAGACCGGTCCTTGCCCTGTCCCTCCAGGACACCGACGATGGAGCCCACTTCCCCGTTCGGTGGGGTGCAAAGGTCGCTGCTCCTCCGACCGGCGGGGGCGGGCCGGTGGCGGGCTTACCTGCTTCCCGCCACCGGGGCGGGCCGGGGCAGGGCGAGGGAGGAGCCGCGCGACACCTGCGAAGGCGGGAGGCCACCTAGCGGGCTCGGCGGGGCCCAGAAGCCGGGAGAGAAGGAGGCGACAAACTTGGAGCGCGGAGCGACCTGGGGGCCGGGGGCGGAGTCGCGGGCGGGGCGGAGAGAGGCCGAGCGGGCGCCGCGGCGGCCCAGGAAGCCCGAGCGCCGCCCACCCATCCGGGGCGCCGCGAGCAGGGCCACGGCTGGGCCGGGGGCTGCCGGCCACGACCCCCAGCTCCACCTCGCCGCCCCCAGCCCGGCCCCAAGATGATGAAGAGGCAGCTGCACCGCATGCGGCAGCTGGCCCAGACGGGCAGCTTGGGACGGTGAGTGTCGCCCCCTTCCTGGCAGCCCCGCTGTTGCCCCGCTGGACCAGCGCGGGTGCAGACGGGTGGAGGGAGCGGAGGGGACGGCGGGGGACAGCTGGGCAGCCTCCCTCCGTCCGGCCAG